AACATTCCAATAATCTTTCCATTTATATATCAATATCATTGCTTTGCTATTACATATTCCAATAATAGTATGATAAAAATCCATAGAGAGTTCTATATGTAGTAAATTTATTTAATTGCATACATAGATTTATATATTCGTATGATATATTTATAAAATATTGTTGACCAGAGACAATCTTTTAAAACAAAATTTGGTGAATTGACATACTTATACTTATTATTTCATTTCGCAACTTTCAGTCCCATTTTAATTCAAATACTTATATTAACCACTTCATTCAAAAAATAGAGTTGTACTAACCTTTTTGAGAAGCGAATTATTGTGATCTTGCAAGGCCTTGTCCTGGTGAATTTAAATCAGATAAGTAAAGTTATATATTAAAATAAATGAATTGTTTTTAGATGTAATTAATTGTGACACTTTACCTTCTTCTGAAGCGCAGATATGGATTCGAACATAGCTTGGTTCTGCAAATATATATTAGAAATTCATTAAATAACACCATCACAAAGTTCAGTTTCAACTCACTGCCAAACTCAACTTTACATACATCTAATGTAGACGTATTTATCAACGTTATCCTCTTACCTTTCTTGACCTAATGCTCTTGATAGCAGCATCAAGCTGATGCTCCAAGCTTTGAAGCTCCTTTAAGCTCAACGAATCCAGATCTTCCCCCATAAAATTCCTGCACAATTTTCATTTTAGTGACTATACTGATTATAATGGCATTGTGCTTGTTATGTTACCTCGTTACCTATGTCTATATTACGCCTAAGTTTTATGATTAAAATGCCTTATAGAAAAATGAGCTTTGTCAGGATCCAATACACAAATAGCTAGCAAGTTGCTCGATTACCGTATTAGTATCATAAGTTATGATAAATAACGTAGTCAATCATGAATCACATGATGCATCACCTCTGAAGTCACATGATCACAGGACTAAGGAAGGAAGTTGGATACATTAGAAGATGTTCAACCCATAGTCTAGTTGACATATACGTAATTAACTTGCGATTTGATAAGCACACAAGTTGTTTGGCAATCTTGATTTGACATTATGCACAAGATAATATTATGGTAAACGC